ATTTTACTAATTTAATGCTCGGTCAAATTGTATGATTTTTAATACTTACAATCACTTTTTTCCTCTAACCTTTATTTCACTAAATGCTCAAGTTTATTGTTGAATATTCTTCCATTTTTTTATACATCGGTGCTTAAGATGTATGGTATCTAAAGTAGCTCCAATTATATACCTTCGGTTTTTCTCTTTCTCTATGATAAGAAAGTGTTAACATGCTTGCTCTTAAGTGAGCTTTATTTTGTTTGGGATATTTCTTGCTTTTTAGGAACCTGGAAGCTTAGTCCATCCTGATTGAATAATCATTTTCGAATTAAACCGCACTTTAACCTTAAACTGCAATGATCAACTGAATGACGTCAACTGGCAGAAGTTATACATTAATCAATTTTACTTCTTGCACTGGTATAATTATGCAGAATTGCGTCTTTTTGTTCAGAGTTTAGATTTTCTACTCCATGAACTTAATTAGCATTTACAGAGTGAATTTAGTATTTTCAAGACTCATTAATTATAGATTAGAGTGGACAAATACAGGGTATCTTTGTTATTCTTAGATTTGCTATTCAGTCAGTAAACTACAAATGACATGGAGGACTTTGTTTTGGTATTGAATTTCGCCTTTTTAGCATTACGCTGCTGGGTGAATCATTGTTTGTATTCCACCCACATTTATTAATTTTGCCTATCGTGTTGGTAGATTTATCTCAATTTTAATTTTTTGTTGTCTTTGATCTGTGGCTCGGCTTTTTTCATCATTGACTCCGCGAATTTCGTCTGATAAACATTAAAAAAAAATTTTGTTTGTACTTTTTTTCTAGGCATTTGTTATGATTATTTTGTTTCGTTGATGTGAAATATTGTGTTATTAGTTATGCTGTTGTTAGCTGTTTCAGGGCTTAGTTTTGTTTATATAGACTAAGTTTAGATTGTAAGGCTGTTAACCCTAAGGTGATATGTTGATTATCTGATTGTAGTTAAAATATAATATGTGTTTTGGGGATATAAGTTTTTCTGTGAAACAATCAGATGTTGCTGATAGGGCTGCAAATAGCAGGTTACTTTGATATAGTAATTTGTGGGGATTATTCTTCCGTCAATAGTGTTGTTGAATGGTTTGTTTTCGTTTGTTGGTATTTCAACGTCCAAGACTACATTTCATAAATAAGCCTATTACATTCGTTGTTTGACCTAGTCTTCGCAACTTGGTCATGTTGGCAGAAAAGACCTAGAGGAGCGCACCTAATCCGGAGTCCATAGTATGCAGGATAATTTACTTAGTCGGATCGTAGACGTGGTACTTTCCCAGACGTTTCGCCGGCATCGTCCTCTTACCAATATGACCAAGTTTCAAAAACAAGGTCAAACAACTTCCATACATCGAAAGGAGCTTGCGACCGTACAACAGGCCACGCCATCTTGAGATTCATACTCTCGATTGAGCCTAATATATTTCGATATTTGGGATAATTATGTTGAGAGTAACTGACATAGCTAGTAAAATCGCTTTTATAATAGGACAATCCTTAATAATACTTCAAATTCTTTGTGTTAATTTCGTTTTAATCGTTCGAATTCCAGTTGGAGTGCTCGAAAATATCATCCTGGTGTAAGACTTAATCGTCGGTTGCAATCATTTTGAAGCCATCTTACATTTTTTTTATATTTTATCTGTACTATCTAGCATACTTAGAGTTTTGGTCATCTACGCCATGAACTAAATTATTCTTTTCAGATCAAATTTAGTATTTTCGCGACCCATTAATTATAGGCTAGAATGGATGAATATAGGGTATCTTTAATATTCTCAGGTTTGCTATTTAGACAGCAAACTAATAATTACATAAGAGACCCTGCTTTGCTATTGAATTTCACCTTTTTAGCAATGCGCTGCTTGGTGAATCATCGTTGCACAAGAAACTGGCTGACATCAATCATAACATAAACTTTTATTTATTTGGCTAACCAAAGCCATGCGTTAGTGAGACTAAGAATGCTCTTTAATCACGCTTCTCTTAAAGAAACTGTCATGAGTAACACTCTTTTGCTTCTCATGCCCAATGAAACTGTTTCGCTAACACAAATTATTCGGAATGTGCTTCCCTCTAAACGTCCTTGCATCAACATTTTGATTAATTGCATAATTTATATTCTAATCATGAATTGTGCGTTTTTTTCCAGCCCATCACTCATTCCTCATTGTCAACGTCTATTTGCATTAACCTTTCTTGTGCGTTCATTCCACTCGTGTCACAGTTGCCAATTACCCAAGCAGAATTCATTGCTTGGTGTCTTCTTCATCAATTGCTTGCTGTTCTGCTCGGAGCATTCTCACAGACGCTGACATCTGCTCGTTTAGCTCGCTGTCCCGCTGCCCTCTTTGCTGAACACATCTTTGCACATTTGGCCTCTCCACCTGATTTCTCGAAAGTGACTACTTGCTCCGAGCTACAGAACCCTAACAGTGTCGCCAGTCCTTCCTCCCAATCTCCAACATGGCTGGCACTAGCTCGCTGCCGATTGACATTGTGTCTATCCGTGTGTGATTTCTGTTCAAGGAGGCCTGAAATACCTGCCCACTTTGGCGGATCCACCATTCTGACCAAGACAACCGCCATTTTGATTGATGTGTGCCTTCTCCTACAAGAATTGCACTCGGTATGTGTCATCAATTATGCATTTTGATGCTTATTGGCAAATTCCATAGTGTTAGGCATTCACCATGGCACTGGCCCGTTTCAGTGTTTACCAGTTTTTCTCCAGATGGCTCTTTTTAGAATAACTTTATCTAATCTGATAGGAAGATATATTTTATTCCATTAATGCTTTCGATAGAAATCTTACAAAAAAATTTAAAAAAAGGCTCTTATTAATGTAAACGAAGAAA